GGAGGAGCTGGCGGAGCTGCGGGAGCGCCTGGAGCGGGCGGAGGCGCGGGCGGCGCGGGCCGAGCAGCAGCACCGGGAGCGCCTGGAGCGGCTGCGGGGGCAGCTGGACGAGGGCAACGCCCGAGCCGCCAACCTGGCGGCCAGGTGGGCGTGGGGACCCCGAAAATGGGGTGGGGGACCCCGAAAATGGGGTGGGGGGCCCCGAAAATGGGGAGGGGGGCACCAAGAATGGGGAGGGGGGCACCGAAAATGGGTGGGGGGCACCGAGAATGGGGAGGGGGGCACTGAATATGGGGTGGGGGTGGCCAAAAATGGGGTGGGGGGGCACCTAAAATGGGGTGGGGGATCCCGAAAATGGGGTGGGGGGCCCCGAAAATGGGGTGGGGGGCACTGAGAATGGGGTGGGGACCCCGAAAATGGGGTGGGAGCGGCCAAAAATGGGGTGGGGGGCACCGAGAATGGGGTAGGGGGCACCGAAAATGGGGTGGCCCAGTTTGGACCCCCGTTTGGCCCCAGTTTGTCCCAGTTAGGCCCAGTTTGCCCCAGTTTGTTCCAGTTTGGGATCCCAGTTTGGGGTCCCAGTTTGGGGTCCCAGTTTGGGGTCCCAGTTTTGCCCCAGTTTTCCCCAGTTTGGGGTCCCAGTTTTCCCCAGTTTGGGGTCTCAGTTTGTCCCAATTTGTCCCAGTTTGGGGTCCCAGATTGCCCCAGTTTTGCCCCAGTTTTCCCCAGTTTGGGGTCCCAGTTTGGGGTCCCAATTTGTCCCAGTTTGGGGTCCCAGTTTTGCCCCAGTTTTCCCCAGTTTGGAGTCCCAGTTTGGGGTCCCAGTTTGCCCCAGTTTGTTCCAGTTTGGGATCCCAGTTTGGGGTCCCAGTTTGGGGTCCCAGTTTGCCCCAGTCTGTCCCAGTCTGTCCCAGTCTGTCCCAGTTTGTCCCAGTTTGCCCCAGTTTGTCCCAGTTTGTCCCAGTTTGCCCCAGTTTATCCCAGTTCATCCCAGTTTGTCCCTCCCTGTCCCAGTTTGCCCCAGTTTATCCCAGTTTGTCCCTCCCTGTCCCCCCAGGCTGACGGCGGCTGAGGGCGGCCGCAAGAAGGACCTGGAGAGGCTGAAAAACAACGAGGAGAGAGGGAGGGAACTGGTGAGACTGGGAGGGGACACTGGGGACACTGGGAGGGGACACTGGGGACACTGGGGGGACTGGGAGGGGACACTGGGGACACTGGGAGGGGACACTGGGGACACTGGTGAGACTGGGAGGGGACACTGGGGACATTGGGGACACTGGGAGGGGACACTGGGGGGACTGGGGGGACTGGGGACACTGGGAGGATGGGGGGGACACTGGGGACACTGGGGGGACTGGGAGGGGACACTGGGAGGGGACACTGGGAGGGGACACTGGGAGGGGACACTGGGGACACTGGGGACACTGCGGGGACTGGGAGGGGACACTGGGGGGGACACTGGGGACACTGGGAGGGGACACTGGGGACACTGGGGGGACTGGGAGGGGACACTGGGAGGGGACGCTGGGGGGACACTGGGGACACTGGGGGGACTGGGGACATTGGGGGGACTGGGATGGACTGGGGACATTGGGGACACTGGGAGGGGACACTGGGGACACTGGGAGGGGACACTGGAGGGACTGGGAGGGGACACTGGGGACACTGGGGGGGACATTGGGGGTGACACAGAGGGGACACAGAGGTGACATGGAGGGTGACAAAGAGAGGACACAGCAGGGTACAGGGGGACACTGAGGGGACACTGAGGGTGACACCAAGGTGACACAGAGATGACCTAGAGAGTGACACTGAGGTGACACGGACGTGACACCAGGGTGACACTGAGGGTGACACTGAGGGTGACACTGAGGGTGACACAGAGAGTGACACTAAGGTGGCACTGAGGTGACACAGAGATGACACCAAAATGTCCCCTGTGTCCCCTGTGTCCCCTGGTGTCCCCTGATGTCCCCCCGTGTCCCCTGTGTCCCCCTGTGTCCCCTGGTGTCCCCTGGTGTCCCCTGGTGTCCCCCTGTGTCCCCTGGTGTCCCCTGTGTCCCCTGTGTCCCTCGGTGTCCCCTGGTGTCCCCTGTGTCCCCTGTGTCCCCTGGTGTCCCCTGATGTCCCCCCGTGTCCCCTGTGTCCCCTGTGTCCCCTGATGTCCCCCCGTGTCCCCTGGTGTCCCCTGTGTCCCCCGGTGTCCCCTGTGTCCCCTGTGTCCCCCTGTGTCCCCTGTGTCCCCTGGTGTCCCCCTGTGTCCCCGGTGTCCCCTGGTGTCCCCTGGTGTCCCCCTGTGTCCCCCGGTGTCCCCTGGTGTCCCCTGTGTCCCCTGTGTCCCCTGTGTCCCCTGTGTCCCCTGGTGTCCCCTGTGTCCCCTGTGTCCCCTGTGTCCCCTGGTGTCCCCCTGTGTCCCCTGTGTCCCCTGTGTCCCCTGTGTCCCCTGGTGTCCCCTGTGTCCCCTCTGCAGGAGCGGCGCCTCTCGGGGCTGGAGCAGGAGCTGCGCAGGGCCCGGGGCCACCCCTGCCACGTCCCCAAGGTGTCCCCAGGGTGTCCCCAAAGTGTCCCCGAGTGCCACCACGAGCCTGGTGACGACAGCGACGCCACCAGCGTGTGACACCGAATGTCCCCAAGGTGTCCCCGAGGTGTCCCCAAAGGGGCTGCCACCAGCGATGCCACCGGCGTGTGACACCACAGATGTCCCCAAGGTGTCCCCAAGGTGTCCCCGAGCTGCGCAGGACCCGGGGCCACCCCCGCAATGTCCCCAGGGTGTCCCCAAGGTGTCCCCAAGGTGTCGCCACCCCCCGCAGTGTCACAGGAATAAACGATGGCGTTGTCACCAGGGCTGTCCCCAGCTCCTTGGGGACACTCGGGGACGTCTCCGTGTGACCCCACCCGGTGTCCCCAATGTCCCCTTGATGTCCCCATGGTGTCCCCATGGTGTCCCCAATGTCCCCTTGATGTTCCCAATGTCCCCATGGTGTCCCCCCACTGCCAACTCAGTGTCCCCTTGATGTCCCCTTGATGCCACCATGGTGTCCCCTCAGTGCCACCCCAGTGCCCCCACTTTGTCTCATTTCAAGGGGACACTGGGGACATTTTTTGGGGGAGCTGTGGTGACATTTTTTGGGGACTTTTGGGGACGTTTTTTGGGGACGTTTGGGGACATTTTTGGGGTCAGCCCCGTTTTTGGGGGTTTTTATTTTGGGGTTCCGGGGTTTTTTGGGGTGCCAGAGGTACCTGAGGGGGGATGGCACCCCCTGAACCCATTCCAGCTGTCCCCAAATGTCCCCAATGTCCCCAAACCTCCCCAATAACACAAACCGCACACACCGGGATCGTTTTTTGGGGTCAGCCCCGATTTTGGGGTTTTTTATTTGGGGGTTCCGGGTTTCTTGGGGTGCCAGAGGTGGATGGTGAAGACATCCCAAGGAGGGGATGGCATCCCCTGAACCCATTCCAGGTGTCCCCAAATGTCCCCAATGTCCCCAAATGTCCCCATTAAACACCAACACCAGGAGTCGATGGTTGTTTGGGGTCAGCCCCGATTTTGGGATTTTTACCCCAATTCTTTTTGGGGTTCTGGGCTTTTTGGGGGTGCCATGCCCTGAGGGGTGCCACAGGTACCTGAGGATGACAAAGGGATCCCCAAAACCCCTTCAGTGTCACCCCAATGCTCCCAAACATCCCCAAATCCCCATTAAACACCAACACCAGGAGTCGATCGTTTTTTGGGGTCAGCCCCGATTTTGGGGTTTTTTATTTGGGGGTTCCGGGTTTCTTGGGGTGCCACAGGTACCCAGGGATGGTGAAGGCCTTGATGTGCCCTGAACCCCAAATTTCCCCCCATAAACCCCCCTTTGATGTCACCCAAGCATCTCCAAACGTCCCCAATGTCCCCGTCCCCAATAACACAAACCGCACACACCGGGATCGTTTTTTGGGGTCAGCCCCGATTTTGGGGTTTTTACCCCAATTCTTTTTGGGGTTCTGGGTTTTTTGGGGGTGCCATGCCCTGAGGGGTGCCACAGGTACCTGAGGATGACAAAGGGATCCCCAAAACCCCTTCAGTGTCACCCCAATGCTCCCAAACATCCCCATTAAACACCAACACCAGGAGTCGATCGTTTTTTGGGGTCAGCCCCGCTTTTGGGGTTTTTTATTTGGGGGTTCCGGGTTTCTTGGGGTGCCAGAGGTGGCCGGGGATGGTGAAGGCGTCGACGCTGCCGCTCATGGTGCGGGCGGGCAGGCGGCAGAAGCGCCTCTGGTCCGACTGGTATTTGTACAGGGCCTCCACCATGGGCAGGGGGACGCTGCGGGGCCCCGAGCCCGACAGGCGCTTTAGGGTCGGGGGGATCCCCCCCAAAGCGTAAACGCCCCGGAATTGGCAGCCCCCGTCCCGGAATAGGATCAGGAGTTGTTGGGCTGAGCTCTGCTCCATCTCCTGCAACAGAAAAATGGGATTTTGGGTCAAGTTATGGGGATTTTTTGGGATTTTCTGCGATTTTTTGGTGATTTTTTTGGGATTTTTTGGGGTTTTTTCAGCTTTTTTTGGGGGATTTATGGCGGTTTTTTTGAGGAATTTTTTGGGGGGTTTATGGGTTTTATTTGGGGATTTTTTGGGATTTTTTTGGGATTTTTTGGGATTTTTTTGGGATTTTTTGGGATTTTTTTTGGGTTTTTTTAGCTTTTTGCAGGGGATTTGTGGGGGATTCATGGCTTTTTTGGGGTTTTTTTTTATGGCTTTTTTTGGGGGGGTTTTCAGCTTTTATGGGTTTTATTTGGGGTTTTTTGGGAGGTTTATGGGGTTTTTTTGAGGATTTATAGGGTTTTGGGGGGCATTTTCCAGGGCTATGTGAGGCATTCATGGGGTTTTTGTGGGGGATTTTGGAGGTATTTTTTGGGGATTTTATGGGTTTTATTTGGGGAATTTTTGGGGATTTTTCTGAGATTTTTTGAGGATTTTTTGGGGAATTTTTTTGGCTTTTTTTTGGATTTTTTTAGGATTTTTTTGGTGTTTTTGTGGTGTTTTTGGTGTTTTTGGGGAGGTGCTTTAGGGTCGGGGGGATCCCCCCCAAAGCGTAAACGCCCCGGAATTGGCAGCCCCCGTCCCGGAATAGGATCAGGAGTTGTTGGGCTGAGCTCTGCTCCATCTCCTGCAAGAGAAAAATGGGATTTTGGGTCAATTTATGGGGTTTTTTTGGGATTTTTTGTGGTTTTTCTGCGATTTTTTGGTGATTTTTTGGGGTTTTTTTCAGCTTTTTTTGGGGGATTTATGGTGGTTTTTTGAGGAATTTTTATGGGTTTTATTTGGGGATTTTTTGGGATTTTTTTCGGATTTTTTGGGATTTTTTTCGGATTTTTTGGGATTTTTTTGGGATTTTTTTGGGGTTTTTTCAGCTTTTTGCGGGAGATTTGTGGGGGATTTATGGCTTTATTTGGGGTTTTTTTATGGCTTTTTTTGGGGGGTTTTGCACCTTTTATGGGTTTTATTTGGGGTTTTTTGGGAGGTTTATGGGGTTTTTTTGAGGATTTATGGGGTTTTTGGGGGCATTTTCCGGGGCTATGTGAGGTATTAATGAGGTTTTTGTGGGGGATTTTTTGGGGTTTTTTGGGGGATTTTATGGGGTTTATTTGGGGAATTTTTGGGATTTTTTTAGGATTTTTTTGAGGATTTTTTGGGGATTTTTTTGGGATTTTTTTGGATTTTTTGGGGATTTTTTGAGGATTTTTTGGGATTTTTTTTGGGATTTTTTTTTATTTTTTTTAGGATTTTTTGAGGATTTTTTGAGGATTTTTTTTGGTTTTTTTTTGGTATTTTTGTTTTTTTTTTCGGGAGGCGTTTTAGGGTCGGGGGGATTTTTTTCAGCTTTTTTTGGGGTTTTTTTTTTTGAGTTTTATTTGGGTTTTTTTGAGGGTTATTTGGGGGCATTTACGGGGTGATGTGGGGAGACTCATGGGGGTTTTATGGGATTTTTTGGGGGTTTTTTGGGAGGCTTTATGGGTTTTTTTGGGGATTTTTGGGGTTTTTTGAGTTTGGGGGGTGTTTTGGGGGGATTTTTGGAGTTTTTTGGGGTGTTTTTGGGATTTTTGGGGTCTCACCTGCAGCACTTTGCTCCTTTCGGTATCACTGTAGGATTTTGGGGTTTTTGGGCTCCTTTTGGGTTTTTTGGGCTCCTTTTGGGATTTTTGGGCTCCTTTTGGGGTTTTTGGGCTCCTTTTGAGGTTTTTTGGGCTCATTTTGGGGTTTTTGGGACCCCTGTCTGGGTTTATGGGGTTTTTGGGGGATTTTGGGGTTTTTGGGGTCTCACCTGCAGCACTTTGCTCCTTTCGTGATCGCTGTAGGATTTTGGGGTTTTTGGGCTCCTTTTGGTGTTTTTGGGCTCCTTTTGGGGATTTTTCGGATCCTTTTGGGGTTTTTTCGGATCCTTTTGGGGTATTTGGGACCCCTGTCTGTGTTTATGGGGTCTTGGGGGTGTTTTTGGGGCATTTTTGGGGTATTTGGGGTCTCACCTGCAGCACTTTGCTCCTTTTGGCATCACTGTAGGATTTTGGGGTTTTGGGCTCCTTGTGGGGTTTTTTGGGTTCCTTTGCCGGCTGTGGTTTTTTGGGGGTGTTTTTGGGGGATTTTTGGAGTTTTTTGGGCTCTTTTTGGGGTATTTTGGGGTCTCACCTGCAGCACTTTGCTCTTTTCGTGATCGCTGTAGGATTTTGGGGTTTTTTGGGCTCCTTTTGGTGTTTTTTGGATCCTTTTGGGGTTTTTGGGCTCCTTTTGAGGTTTTTTGGGCTCCTTTTGGGGTTTTTGGAACCCCTGTTTGGCTGTGGGATTTTGGGGGGTGTTTTTGGGGGATTTTTGGGGTATTTTGGGGTCTCACCTGCAGCACTTTGCTCCTTTTGGGATCCCTGTAAGATTTTGGGGTTTTTTGGGTTCCTTTTGGTGTTTTTGGGCTCCTTTTGGGGTTTTTTGGATCCTTTAGGGGTTTTTGGGACCCCTGTCTGTGTTTATGGGGTCTTTGGGGTGTTTTGGGGGGTTTTTGGGGTCTCACCTGCAGCACTTTGCTCCCTTCAGGATCACTGTAGGATTTTGGGGTTTTTTGGGCTCCTTTTGGGGTTTTTGGGTTCCTTTTGGGGTTTTTTGAGCTCCTTTTGGCGTTTTTGGAACCCCGGTCTGGCTGTGGGATTTTGGGGGGTGTTTTTGGGGGATTTTTGGAGTTTTTTGGGGGATTTTTGGGGTGTTTTGGGGTCTCACCTGCAGCACTTTGCTCCTTTCAGGATCTCTGTAGGATTTTGGGGTTTTTGGGCTCCTTTTGGGGTTTTTCGGATCCTTTTGGGGTTTTTCAGATCCTTTTGGGGTTTTTGGAACCCCTGTCTGGGTTTATGGGGTCTTGGGGTCGCTTTTGGGGGATTTCTGAACTTTTTTGGGGGATTTTTGGGGTATTTGGGGTCTCACCTGCAGCACTTTGTTCCTTTCGTGATCCCTGTAGGATTTTGGGGTTTTTTGGGTTCCTTTTGGGGTTTTTGGGTTCCTTTTGGTGTTTTTTGGATCCTTTTGGTGTTTTTTGGATCCTTTTGGGGTTTTTGGGCTCCTTTTGAGGTTTTTTGGGCTCCTTTTGGGGTTTTTGGAACCCCTGTTTGGCTGTGGGATTTTGGGGGGTGTTTTTGGGGGATTTTTGGGGTATTTTGGGGTCTCACCTGCAGCACTTTGCTCCTTTTGGGATCGCTGTTGGATTTTGGGGTTTTTGGGCTTCTTTTGGTGTTTTTGGGCTCCTTTTGGTGTTTTTGGGCTCCTTTTGTGGTTTTTTGGGCTCATTTTGGGGTTTTTGGGACCCCTGTCTGGGTTTATGGGGTCTTGGGGTCGCTTTTGGGGGATTTTTGGACTTTTTTGGGGGATTTTTGGGGTGTTTTGGGGTCTCACCTGCAGCACTTTGCTCCTTTCAGGATCGCTGTAGGATTTTGGGGTTTTTGGGCTCCTTTTGGTGTTTTTGGGCTCCTTTTGGGGATTTTTTGGGCTCCTTTTGGGGTTTTTTGGGCTCCTTTTGGGGTTTTTGGAACCCCTGTCTGTGTTTATGGGGTTTTGGGGGTGTTTTGGGGGGTTTTTGGGGTCTCACCTGCAGCACTTTGCTCCTTTCGGGATCGCTGTAGGATTTTGGGGTTTTTTGGGCTCCTTGTGGGGTTTTTTGGATTCCTTTGCCGGCTGTGGTTTTTTGGGGGTGTTTTTGGGGTGTTTTTGGGTGTTTTGGGGTCTCACCTGCAGCACTTTGGCCCTCAGGGGGGCGTTGGGGGTCCCGGCCAGCACACAATGGGCCAGGGCGTTCTGGATCAGCGGCCGGTTGGACCTGGCCGTGGGCTCCTTGTACAGCCTGGGACCTGCAGAGGGAATTTGGGGCAAATTGGGGGGATTTTGGGGAAATTTGGGGAGTTTGGGGAAAATTTGAGGGGTTTTGGGGAAAATTTGAGGGATTTTGTGGGGTTTTAGGGGCAGATTTGGGGGTTCTGGATCAGCCCCCGGTTGGACCTGGCCGTGGGCTCCTTGTACAGCCTGGGACCTGCAGAGGGAATGTGGGGCAAATTTGGGGCATTTGGGTGAAATTTGGGGAGTTTGGGGAAAATCTGGGGGATTTTGGGGGAAATTTGAGGGATTTTTGGGGAGAACTGGGGGAGAATTGGGGGAAATTTGAGGGATTTGAGGGGGAAATCAGGAGCTGGGCGTGGGCTCCTTGTACAGCCTGGGACCTGGGCATGAGGGAAAATTGGGGCAAATTTGGGGGATTTTGGTGAAATTTGGGTGATTTAGGGGAAATTTGGGGATTTTGGGGAAAATTTGGGGGTTTTGGGGAAAATCTGAGGGGTTTTGGGGGAATTTGTGGGGTTTTAGGGGCAGATTTGGGGGCTCTGGATCAGCCCCTGGTTGGACCCGGCCAAGGCTCCTTGTACAGCCTGGGACCTGCAGAGGGAATTTGGGGCAAATTTGGGTGATTTTGGGGAAATTTGGGGGATTTGGGGGAAAATTTGAGGGGTTTGGGGGAAAATTTGGGGAGTTTGGGGAAAATTTGAGGGATTTTGGGGGAGAATTGGGGGAAATTTGAGGGATTTGAGGGGGAAATCGGGAGCTGGGCATGGGCTCCTTGTACAGCCTGGGACCTGGGCATGAGGGAAAATTGGGGGAAATTTGGGGGATTTTGGTGAAATTTGGGGAGTTTGGGGAAAAATTGGGGAGTTTGGGGAAAATTTGAGGGGTTTTGGGGGAAATTTGAGGGGTTTTGGGGGAAATTTGAGGGGTTTTGGGGAGTTTTAGGGGCAGAGTTGGGGGTTGTGGATCAGCGGCCGGTTGGACCCAGCCAAGGCTCCTGGTACAGCTGGGACCTGGGGATGAGGGAAAATTGAGGGAAATTTGGGGGATTTTGGTGAAATTTGGGGAGTTTGGGGAAAATTTGAAGGGTTTTGGCAAAATTTGAGGGGTTTTGGGGGAAATTTGAGAGGTTTTGGGGGAGAATTGGGGGAAATTTGAGGGATTTGAGGGGGAAATCGGGAGCTGAGCGTGGGCTCCTTGTACAGCCTGGGACCTGGGCATGAGGGAAAATTGGGGCAAATTTGGGAAAATTTGGGTGATTTTGGTGAAATTTGGGGGATTTGGGTGAAATTTGGGGAGTTTGGGGAAAATTTGAGGGGTTTTGGGGGAAATTTGGGGGATTTTGGGGAGTTTTAGGGGCAGATTTGGGGGTTCTGGATCAGCCCCTGGTTGGACCCGGCCAAGGCTCCTTGTACAGCCTGGGACCTGGGGATGAGGGAAAATTGGGGCAAATTTGGGGGATTTTGGTGAAATTTGGGTGATTAGGGGGAATTTGGAGAATTTAGGGTCACCAGGGAGGGATTTGAGGGAGAAATTTGGGAGATTTTGGCAGAGAATTGGGGGAAATGTGAGGGATTTGAGGGGAAATCGGGAGCTGAGCGTGGGCTCCTTGTACAGCCTGGGACCTGGGGATGAGGGAAATTTGGGGGAAAATTGGGGATTTTGGTGAAATTTGGGGAGTTTGGGGAAAATTTGAGGGGTTTTGGCAAAATTTGGGGGATTTGGGGGAAAATTTGGGGATTTTTTGGGGGAAATTTGGGGATTTTGGGGGAAAATTTGGGGGATTTGGGGGAATTTTGGGGGAAATTTGGGGGGAAATTTGGGAGATTTTAGGGGGGGAATTTGGGGGATTTGAAGGGAAATTTGGGGGATTTTGGGGAAAATTTGGGGGGTTTGGGGAAAATTTGGGGATTTGGGAGGAAATTTGAGGGGTTTTGGGGGAATTTTGGGGGGGAGATTTTGGGGGGATTTGGAGGATTTAAAGGGAAATTTGGGGGAAATTTGGGGGATTTGGGAAAAATTGGGGGAAATTTGGGGGGATTTTGGCGGGAAGATTTTGGGGTGGATTTTTGGGGTTTTTGGGGTGGATTTTTGGGGTGGATTTTTGGGGTGGATTTTTGGGGTGGGTTTTGGGGTTTTTTGGGGGGTTTTGGGGGTTTTTTTGGGGTTTTTGGGGTGGATTTTTGGGGTTTTTGGGGTGGGTTTTTGGGTGGATTTTGGGGTTTTTGGGTGGGTTTTTGGGGTGGATTTTTGGGTTTTTGGGGTGGATTTTTTGGGTGGATTTTTGGGGTTTTTGGGTGGATTTTTGGGGTGGATTTTTGGGGTTTTTGGGGTGGATTTTTGGGGTGGATTTTGGGTTTTTGGGGTGGATTTTTGGGGTGGATTTTTGGGGTTTTTGGGGAGTTTTTTTGGGGTTTTTGGGGTGGATTTTTGGGGTGGATTTTTGGGATTTTTGGGTTGGATTTTTGGGGTTTTTGGGGTGGATTTTTTGGGTGGATTTTTGGGGTTTTTTGGGGTGGGTTTTTGGGGTGGATTTTTGGGGTTTTTGGGGTGGATTTTTGGGGTTTTTTGGGGTGGATTTTTGGGGTTTTTTTGGGGTTTCTGGGGGGGGTCTCACCCGTGTACTCCGGCCCTGGTGAGGACGGGTTCGAGTCCTGCTCCCACTCCCGGCCTGGGGGGGGGGCTCGGCCTGGGGACCCCGGCCCCGAGGGGGACCCGGCCCGGCTGGGGGAGGGGCAGAAGGGCTGAGAGACCCCCCCCAAAATAACCCCAAATTCACCCAAATTCACCACAAGACCCCCAATTTTCCCCAGTCTAAAATCCCAAATTTTCCACCCCCAAAATCCCCAAATTTTCACCTAAAAACCCCAAATTTCCACCCCAAAAATCCCCAAAATTTTCCCCTAAAAACCCCAAATATTCCCCCAAATTCACCCCAAATTCTCCCCGTCTCAAATCCCAAATTTCCACCCCCAAAATCCCCAAATTTTCCCCTAAAAACCCCAAATTCCCCCAAATTCACCCCAAGACCCCCAAAAATTTTTCCCCCGTCTCAAATCCCAAATTTCCCCCCACAAAATCCCCCAAATTTTTCCCCAAATTCACCCCCCCTCAAATCCCAAATTTCCACCCCCAAAATCCCCAAAATTTTCCCCTTAAAACCCCAAATTTTTCCCCAAATTCACCACAAGACCCCCAAATTTCCCCAATCTAAAATCCCAAATTTTCCACCCCCAAAATCCCCAAATTTTCACCTAAAAACCCCAAATTTCCACCCCAAAAATCCGCAAATTTTCCCCTGAAAACCCCATATTTTTCCCCAAATTTCCTCCCCCAAAATCCCCAAAATTTTCCCCTAAAAACCCCAAATATTCCCCCAAATTCACCCCAAATTCTCCCCATCTCAAATCCCAAATTTCCACCCCAAAATCCCCAAAATTTTCCCCTGAAAACCCCAAATTTTTCCCCAAATTTCCTCCCCCAAAATCCCCAAATTTCCACCCCCAAAATCCCCAAAATTTTCCCCTCAAAACCCCAAATTTCTCCCCCCAAAACCCCAAAGTTTCCCCCAAATTCACCCAAAGACCCCAAATTTCCACCCTCAAAATCCCCACATTTTTCCCCCCAAACCCCCCCAAATTTGCTCCAAAATTCCACCCAAGACCCCCAAATTTTCCCCCCTCAAATCCCACATTTTCCACCCCAAAATCCCCAAATTTTCCCCTAAAAACCCCCATATTTTTCCCCAAATTTCCTCCCCCAAAATCCCCAAAATTTTCCCCTAAAAACCCCAAATATTCCCCCAAATTCACCCCAAATTCTCCCCGTCTCAAATCCCAAATTTCCACCCCCAAAATCCCCAAAATTTTCCCCTTAAAACCCCAAATTTTTCCCCAAATTCACCACAAGACCCCCAAATTTCCCCAATCTAAAATCCCAAATTTTCCACCCCCAAAATCCCCAAATTTTCACCTAAAAACCCCAAATTTCCACCCCAAAAATCCCCAAATTTTCCCCTAAAAACCCCATATTTTTCCCCAAATTTCCTCCCCCAAAATCCCTAAAATTTTCCCCTAAAAACCCCAAATATTCCCCCAAATTCACCCCAAATTCTCCCCATCTCAAATCCCAAATTTCCACCCCCAAAATCCCCGAAATTTTCCCCTGAAAACCCCAAATTTTTCCCCAAATTTCCTCCCCCAAAATCCCCAAATTTCCTCCCCCAAAATCCCCAAATTTCCACCCCCAAAATCCCCAAATTTTCCCCTAAAAAACCCCAAATATTCCCCCAAATTCACCACAAGACCCCAAACATTTTTCCCCTATCTCAAATCCCAAATTTCCACCCCAAAAACCCCAAAATTTCCCCCAAATCCCCCAAAATTTCCCAGGACCCCCAAAATTCCCTCCCCTGACGCCCCCAGACCCAAATCCCCCCCCCTCAGAGCCCAAAATTCCTCCCCAAATTCCCTCCAAAACCCCAAAATTTCCCTAAAAACTCCCCAAAACCCCCAAATTTCCTCCCAAAATCCCCAATTTTTCCCCAAAATTCCAAAATTTTCCATTAAAATCCCCCCAAAATTTCCCAAGACCCTCAAAATTCCCTCCCCTGACACCCCCAGACCCAAATCCCCCCCCCTCAGAGCCCAAAATTCCTCCCCAAATTCCCTCCAAAAACCCAAAAAATTCCCCAAAAACTCCCCCAAAACCCCCAAATTTCCTCCCAAAATCCCCAATTTTTCCCCAAAATTCCAAAATTTTCCATTAAAATCCCCCAAAATTTCCCAAGACCCCCAAAATTCCCTCCCCTGACACCCCCAGACCCAAATCCCCTCCCTCAGAGCCCAAAATTTCTCCCCAAATTCCCTCCAAAACCCCAAAATTTCCCTAAAAACTCCCCCAAAACCCCCAAATTTCCTCCCAAAATCCCCAATTTTCCACAAAAATTCCAAAATTTTCCATTAAAATCCCCCCAAAATTTCCCAGGACCCCCAAAATTCCCTCCCCTGACGCCCCCAGACCCAAATCCCCCCCATCCCCCAGGACCCCAGACCCCAAAATTCCTCCCAAAAAACCCGAAAATTTCCCCCCAAAACTCCCAAATTTCCTCCTAAAATCCCCAAATTTTTCCCCAAAATCCCAGATTTTTCCCCCAAAATCCCAGATTTTCCCCCAAAATCCCCAATTTTTCCCCAAAATTCCCCAATTTCCCCCCTCACCTGGAGCTGCGCCCCCCGCCCGGCTCGGCCACGCTGGAGAGGGACAGAGAGCTCTGGGAATAAACCTTGGACAGACGGGAACCTGAGGGGGGGAAATGGGGTGAGACCCCTCCCCAAATTCACCCTGAGACCCCTCCCCAAATTCACCGAGACCCCAGACCCAAAACACCCCAAAAAACCCCAAAAAACCCCAAAAAAAACCCAAAAAACCCCGAGATTCCTCCCCAAAATCCCCCCAAAATCAGGGACAGAGCTCTGGGAATAAACCTTGGACAGACGGGAACCTGGGGGGGAAATGGGGTCAGACCCCTCCCCAAATTCACCCTGAGACCCCTCCCCAAATTCACCCTGAGACCCCAGACCCAAAAAACCCTAAAAAAAACCAAAAAACCCCCCAAAAAACCCTGAGACCCCTCCCCAAATTCCCCAGATCCAATTTTGGGGGTGTCCCCAAGACCCCAGCCCCATTTCTGGGTCGTCCACT